CCATAGGAGTCCACAGGAGTCCTGGAGTCCGCTTTTTCCCCCTTGAGTTCTTTTCACTAGTTCTCAGGAACTTTAGAAACTTGAACTGTCCCATACCTACTAGAATTGGCGTTAGATACTATTTGCTTACGTTACATATCCAACTGTATCGAAAATATCGTCCGATCGAGCTCAAATTTGTACCACAGATACTTTAGACCCTACCTTAGGAGTAAAATGTTCTTTTCGAAAAATATACTTTCCTTCTCGAGATACTAGAAAAATACTAAAAATCTTGTATAGAAAAGCCATTTTTGAATTTACAAATCTTTTCACACCGAAAGTTGAAAGCGAAAATAATTAAAAAAATTTGACTCCTGAGATAGGGTGTAAAGTATCTGTGGTAAAAATTTAAGCTCGATCGGACCATTTTTTCGAGGGATCGTAATGCGAGTGGCCTGAAGAGACTAGCGAAAAAACGCAAGGAGAAAAACACATATTGTACACAGGCTGTATTTTTCAGGAGATTTGCAGTAATACTTATCTCAAATTGAAAAGGTTTCTGCAAAAAAAGACGGGAGGGGTACCCTTAACTATCAGTGCTATGATTAACAGCTGATGACTTTATTTACACTCCATCGATATATTTCGTTGGGACAGTTTTTCAGAAACTCTAAATACATAACAAAAACGTTTCTTAATGAGGCATGATTGTAGCCCGCAAATTTCTGATTAAAGTGAGAGTTCTTCTAGCTCTACACGAGCTTTCTTTGCAAAGTTATAGAATTTACAAGAAAAGTCCTAAATGTTCATTGTCTGCTCAAAGCCACAGAAATAAGACGAAATTAATTTAGGGCTTTCTTGTAAACTCTATAACTTTGCAAAGAAAAGTTGTACAGACCTGGTAGACGTCTCACTTTAATCAGAACTTTGCGAGCTACAATCATGCGTGATTAAGAAATGTTTGGGTTATTTTTTACAGTTTCTGAAAAACTGGTTTTCCAGAAAACCGGTTCTTCGAGAGCCATGGGGATAAATCCTTTTAGGCTTTTTACTATCTCGATATAGGCCATCGATTGATGTATGCGTGAAAGAAATTGGAGTTGGACAGCTGGGAAGGTTCCCTCGTAAGAGATCAGGTAGCTGAAGGGCTAACTGCTCAAAAAATAAACTTCGAAAGTTATCAAACAAAAGCGAAGCTAATGAGAATCGACTCAAGGATGTTCCCCAAAAGGTTATCATACCAGATGTGGCCGCTAAAGCATTTAGCAGAGATGATGGAGTCACCATTTTTTCGAGTTTGAGTCAAGCCCGAGTCAGCAGCCAGCGTTTTCCAAGAACAGGTCTTCAATCCTCTCACATGTTCTTCTTAGAATATTCTGGATGCTTTCACACAGGTCCGCCCACTTTATACAGAACATCTTGTCGAAAATAACCTAAAGGTCTCGCTTACGCTTTTTTGAAAAAATGTGTGAAAAGTGGTTTTCTAGACACCTCAAGTTCTGGTGAGGGTGAAACCGAAGTCGGTGAAAATGAATGAAATATTACATAATTATTCATCAAACTAAAGCTCTTGTCGAGTTGATTCTAATGGTGAAAGAATTCGGTCTCGATCTCACTTTACATTCGAGTGGTGTTCAATTTTCTTGAAAAATTCCTGAAGTTTGACTTCGATTTCTCCTGAGCGCTCCGAAAAGTTTTCGAGATTTTTTTAGGATAGGAACTACTTAGTAGGATCTACAACTTTGCCCTTAGAACTATCCTCGCCACTTTCCATTTTTCGTGTTCAGTTTTCCAGAACTTTTAGAAAACTGTGGTCCGGAAACACAAAGAAGCCTCAGAAAACGTTGAAGTACATTGAATTCTTCATGCTGAACAGGAATACAGAGTCATAATAGCTCAATTTTCCTCTCATGAAGTAAGGTTTTAACGGGTTTTCTGAAAACCGAGGATGAGAAATGACAAGTGTCTAGGACAGTTGTATGGGCAAAACTGTAGATCCTACTAAGTAGTTCCTATCCTAAAAAAATCTCGAAAACTTTTCGGAGCGCTCAGGAGAAATCGAAGTCAAACTTCAAGGATTTTTCAAGAAAAGTGAATACCACTCGAATGTAAAGTGAGATCGAGACCGAATTCTTTCACCATTAGAATCAACTCGTCAAGAGCATTAGTTTGATGAATAATTATGTAATATTTCATTCATTTTCACCGACTTCGGTTTCACCCTCACCAGAACTTGAGGTGTCTAGAAAACCACTTTCCACACATTTTTTCAAAAAAGCGTAAGCGAGACCTTCAGGTTATTTTTTATGCTCTACAAGACGGGCAAAGTGAAATTTTCGCGGCTAATAGGGAATGTAATAGTGGGCGGACCTGCGCGGACCGACCCTTCTCAGATCTCTCCCTCTGCTGGTATATAACAGATATAATAAACACCGCCATAACAATCCAAAGGTGCACATGATTCGAAAATGACTCGAGTCGGTTTATCAAGCATATCGAATCTTTTGTCTCGAGTCCAAGTCGTGACTCGGACTCGTCCATCTCTGGCATTGGGACCGATCTTCTTGATAACTGCAGCAGTAATGAGCTAAGAACTGACTCAGTAGAGGATGATTGACAATTTTTACTACTTTTGATCTTCTTGATTACACTTTTTCTTAGTGAGAACATGCATCCTGTTTCTATTTTGTGATGGATAGTAGAATGAAAAAATTGTTTAAAAAATTTGTAGTAAGCACTAATGAGTATTTAGAAAAATAACAGAAATATATTCATATAAATTCATGGTGTACATCATTTACTTAGTGAGAATAAATGTTCGATCGATCACTGTTTTGACTTGTTTGTCGCAAAAAATTAAAATCAATTTTAAACGGCCACATTGAATTTGGATCTCCACTGCCACCGCTGATATTGAGAAATGATTCACGCCTTAACGGATGACGTTTTGGTTCGGGAAGTAAATGAATTTGGACCGTTGTAGTCATTGGTTGCTGCTGTTGTTCTGTTTTCAGTAGATTCTGGTTTATTATATCGGTAGAAACTGGTGCCATCTCACTTACACTGTACTCTGACACGCTTTCAAAAAAGACCATTGATATGATAGAGAAAAGTGTTTTATGAGCGATAGGTGTAAACATACCGAGATAATCGTCCTGCCATCATCTTTTCTTCTACTGAACATGAGTTTTGAGAAGGTGTGGCTTTGTAGTGACCGGTGAAAATGGTTCTTATCCTTGACCACAGTGATTCAGGACAGCATTGGACAACATGTGGAGAACGTTCTTTCGATGAACATTTGTACCGTAGAATCATCCAGCCCAGAGCGAATGCAACGAAAACACCAACGAGAACGGGAAATATAATATTTTTATTATCATCGAAAACATTAGTGGTAAACGTTGAATGTGGAACGATTGGCGGGGACGTAGTACTAAACAAAACATCACTAGTTTCAGATACTAAAAAGAAAAGAATTTAGAGAAACTGTAGAGGTTCTTTGAGATTGCTTATCTCCGTGACTGTAATCATTAGTAATTTTGTTCTAAATATTGAAAAAAATTTTCTCTGTTAGATCATATAATTCTTTTTAAGTACAAAAGAACAGCTCGGATTACTTAAAGATATAAATTAATAAAATATTTTTTTCACCTTCGTCAACATTTAATGTAAAAGTAGTATTATTTCTCATTTCATCTATTCGATTTTATTCAAACAATGAATTTATCGGCTCTGGTTTTATTGAACATAAAACAACAAAATAATTTTTTATTACAATTTTTCTCAATAACTTTATTTAAAATGTAAGCGCATAGACTTAGATATTTTCATCTACAGAATGTTTTTGATATAAGCTTTTTTTTAAGCAAAACGTTTCTTAATCATGCATAATTGTAGCCCGCAAATTTCTGATTAAAGTGAGAAATCTATCAGCTCTACACGACCTTTCTTTGCAAAGTTACAGAATCTACAAGAAAACCCCTAAATGTTTATTGTCAACTCAAAGCTACAGAAATAAGACGAAATTAATTTAGGGCTTTTCTTGTAAATTCTATAACTTTGCAAAGACGGGGAGGGATGTCTCATTTTAATCAGAAATTTGTGGGCTATAATTATATCTCATTAAGAAAGGTTTTGGTTAATTTTCAGATTTTCCGAAAGACTGGTTTTTCACAAAACCGGATTTTCAAGAGTCACGGAGAAAATCCTTTTAGACTTGTACTAGCTCGATACTATCTATCGATCGATGTATGAATGAACAAAAAATCGGAAGGTATGACTTGGATAGTTTCCTCGTTCGCACCAGTAAACTGCAAAACTAAGTTCACTGTGCACTCATTTTTTACTTTACACCTTTTATATCCAATTCTCCATAGCATTTGAAAAACGTTTCTAGTCAATAAAGAGGTCTACACACATGGCCATGATTGTGAAATTGAAAAAAATTTTGATCTATTTGATTATGCTTGAAAATACTGGACTATTTTTCTTCACAACAGCAAAATAGATGGAAAACATCTAATCTTCATTGAAGATGCCTTAATATGTCTAAACTCTAACAGAGGAATTACAAACCAGAAGTTCGAATTTGTATTTTCAATACAATTCTTGTCTCAATATCATCGAATTTATGCGCTCTTTTATTACGCCCGTCTGACAAAAATCGGCGTTTATGAGTTTATTTTCACTTCAGTTTTTATGCCACAAAGAATTTCAGAAAGCATTAAACTTTTCTCATTGAGCCACAATTTTTGCCAGATTTTAAGGTCTTTTTTTGCTATTAAACGCTAAGCGGCCTGTACTTTGATTAGGATACATCGATTAAGAACCTGGTCGTATTTCAGATAGATTTTCTCTCATTCTAAAGTTTTTTTTGTTTTTGTTGACAAATAGTGAATAAGACTTGAAAAATACTGTTTGAACCTACTTATTTTTCGAAGAGTACCTTAATATAGTCTAGTTTGGTATTACTTACGTGAAAAACGGGTTTTGTTGCATAGCTTAATAATCAATTCGAAATAAATTGCGACAATGTTTTATTTTATATCCTCACGAGCACGTAACGTACATCATATAACATATTTCCGGTCGTAAAATAATCATAAAAATAGTAACTTGGCAAGAGAGAGAAAATGCATTAATTTGTTTCTTTTACCATTTCTTGGAATCTTGTTCTCTTTTTTTTTCATTTTTTGTGTATTATTCCTTTATTGAATTATTTATCAATAGACTCTAGGTCTTTATAAAGGAAGTTTCGATGATGAATGCTTTTTTTAGAATGTATTTTAAAAATTCTTCAATAAATTTAATCAATTTACATCGAGAAGTTTCTCAAAAAAATCAAAAAAAAATCAAGAGACACTCATTTTACGTTTACTTTACTCAACTAGAAAATTGAAAAGAAGAATGAACGGATGACTGTTGCAGAAATTATCTTGCCAATCTGTCATAGGAAGGTAACAAGTTTTGATGAAAACTTTTATTAATGAATAAAAATTATTATACATAAAACTAAGACCAATGAAAGTTTCCATAAAAATGAATATTAATAATTTGTCGGAACTTTGCATGAAAAATAATCCTATTACAAAGATAGAGAAGATAATATTTTTAATAGCTTTATTCTTGTTGTTTAATCTTATGCCAAACCGTCTTCTAGTTTGAAAACAAAAGGAAAAAATATTTGATAACAAAAATATGAGTAAATGATGGGAATAAATTTTCTAATAAAAAACCGTCCATGATTTGTCAGACCATTCATTTGTTTTCTTTTTGATGAGCATAGTCATCACTCTTTGTTAAAAACTGTCTTTGTTTTGACTTCTGCTGTTAACAGAAGCGCATCTCGACATATTTCGGAATGTTAAATGTTATTCCGCTAATTGAATGTTATGTTTTGATTATTATTAATAATATTCTTGTTATTAGTTCACATCGACTTAAAGTTTAATTCTAGTTATAAACAGTTACGTGCACTATCCAAGTATGAATTTCATAAGAAATAAGCTAGCGACACTCGCTAAGGAAGTGCCTGCTTCTCCATTCCCTGCAGTTAGCTAAACGAGCAAAATTTAGCGGCTGTGGCTAGCTGCAGTGGGACAAACCCGCTTCAGTACTAGTTGCAGTGGGTACCTATGTTTATTAAACCTGCAAAAAACCGCCCATCAATCTTGGTTAACTGTCCGGTTGAGTGTACGCTTTACCATCCGGGTAACCGCAATTAACTGCCAACCGGTGACTTTTCTTTTTGCTGAGCAAGCGATATGAGTACAAATTCTCTTCTGAACATTTGTTTGTTTTTCTTTTGAGTGTGTATTCATATGTTCCATGCAGTAAAACTGTCGGTTAGTCAGAGTCCATACCGGTGAAGTTTTGGACTGAGCAGTACTTGTCTGCTTGTCAGGACAATTCGATGCAGTCTGAAAGATATTTAGACTAAGTCGAACTTCACACTTCAAGAAGTCATAGAAAAAATTCTGAAGTTTGTCGATAAATCATGTTGTCCTTATATACATATAGCGATCACCAAACAAAACGGTGATTGAAAAAGAAACGGTTAACTGTCGATGCTCCGAAATAATGCGGTCAATTGGCGGTTGATTTTCCAAACCGCGGTATCAAAAATACCGGCGGTTAACTGCGATTAATTGATCATTTATAGCAAACCGCGGTCAATTGGCGGTTATTTGAAGAACCGCGGTTAACCGACGGTTTTCTATAAAAATAGACGACGTGGGTATATATAAATGAAAATATAGAAGGAAAAAAAGAAGTTCCTTTGGAGATTCGAACTTTGTATATAAAGATTAATAATCTTCTTCCTACGCCACTGTATCACAGGTACACAACTAAAAATAAATGTTTTACGTTCTGTTGATGAACTAGTGAATTAATTTCAAGAAGTTTAATTTAATTAGTGTAATTAGGATTATTTATTGTGAAAAAGCGTTTCTCAGAGTTGAACCTCGAGACAATAGTATGTAAAACTTAATTTTCAACATTTTTTGCTCTTGGTATGATGTTCGGAAGCGCTTCCCTCATACTGAAAAATCAAAAATAATAAAAAAGTATTGCATTTTCACCCTAAAGGAATTTCCTAAATTTGTACCAAGAGGAAAAAATGTTGGGAATTAAGTTTTACATACTGTACATAATACCCAAATGTGTACTAAAAAAAATTCGTGAAAGAGTCGAGTTTCTGTTCACGGTAATGTCGTTCGTGGAAATGCCGTGTCACGGGTTCTGTACTGCTATAAAAATTCTGATTATATGCAAACCAATGCTGATAAACAGTGAGCTTTAGTTTATCGTGTACCTAAGAGAAAACTGGTCAAACATGATAAGCAATGGAACCAGATATCTATGACTGTCTCACATAATGACTATTAACCACATAATTTTCATATACTAAATGAACTTTATCCTTCACTGACATATCTTGAGCGCTGAATAACAAGTTTTCTCAATATCATGCTTTTCTTATGAAAAGTACAGTTTTCACCAAAACTGAGTTTAATAATAAGTCGTTTTTTACTAATAAGGTATTAAGGAGTTAACGAGACAATAGATGGATCGGTACAGTTTTGCACAGACGACATTCTCATGTATTTAGTTTTCTAAAAGTTTTTCTCCTTAGATTGCAGTGAAAAATTAAAGAAAAAAATACGTTGTAAGAGCTTTTTCGGTGACGGTTCACGTTTATATTTTTTCTCACTCAAACTGAATTACAAATTCTATATTCGAAGATGTTAGTGTATCATCGTCAAAAAATTGTAATGTTCGTCAGAATGATTCATGTACATCATTACAGAAAATGCAATGTGCTACAAAAGAGATAGTAAGAGATAAACCATCTTTATCATTAAGAAAATAAACTATCTTCTGTTAGAACATTATTAGTCAAATGTCACAAGCGATAGTGGATTTTACAGACAGAAAAAATAAGATATAAAATAAAATATATATATGTAGAACGCAACACAATAAAATAGATAGAATAAACTTTTTCTTTTTTCCTGTAAATGTCATCTGAATCATCATCAAAATACGTCAAGTTCAAAACTTTTTCTAGAGTGGATTTTCATAATTCTTTTACAGCATGAATGTTCATCAACAAACTTATGCAGCATTACGTTCTCGAAGGGAAAACCGAGTAAAACGTGGTGAAATCAGTATGTCAATTACTTTAAGAAACACTTTATTTTGAGAGATCTCGTATCAAAAGTTTTTCTTTTTCACTCTTTCTTTATATAGAAATCGCTACATAAGACTTCANACATAAGACTTCACCGACATTAAGATAAATTGCTTGTTGGATGTCGAAATATAAAGTGTTTGATTAATTCTTTTTAAAAAACCCTTTTGATTTTTTTCCTCAGACTGAAAAACCAAACCTTTGCTACTTGAAAAACCAAATGCGTTTAGGAAAAAACCCTTCGATTCTTTCTAAAACATCCTTTTTAGTTTTTTGGTCAAATAGAAAAATCCTTTTGGTTTTTAAATACGTTTTTTTCGTTTTAGAGATATAAAAAAGCCCTTACTTGCCAAGGACTTTTACAAAGTACTTCTTAGAAATAAAATCAAGTATTTTTATCATTGAGAAGTGCTTCTGAAAGTACATGGCAAGCGAGAAATTTTGAAAACATTTGTCAATTTTTCCAAGTATTTACCAAGTACTTAGCAGGTAATCAAGTACTTGCATCAAGCACGTTCTCTAGGGAAGCGTCACCGGAATTTCTGGATTATGTAAATGGTATTGAACTCGAAGATGATGATGAATTACCTTTGGAAGATGAGGAATCAGATAATGATGATGCACCAATCGATTATACAAGCGTTACTATTCGGAAGGAAGAAAGAATACCCCACCTTTAGGCTACCTTGCGGTACAGGATGCTGTCCGGAGACAGTTTCGTTTTTCGACAGTAAGTCCGATATCTTCCCTACAAATAATACTAGCTGTAGCTCTGAACAGAAGGCCAGCCTAACTCAGAGTTCTTTCGCTCAATCGTTTGAGCTCCCCGTACACACTGGCTAACCACATACTAGCCATGAGGGCTGGTGTATGTCACAACGTAGTCAGCATGCTATCAGACGGGTGGTCTGTGGCAAACCGTTAATGACTTTCCCAGGGTCATTCCATGTTTGGTGACGTAGAGGCTCGAACACAGTACCTTGGGAGTACGTGCCAAACAACTTAATCACACAGCCATAGCGGCTTACAATTTAGAATTTCCATCATCTGCCAAACAAGCACTCGATACTATCAAACACTCGGTAGTTTAATACGTCCAAAAAGTATGTAAGAAACTAAAGGGTTATCAGGTTTCTTTCAATGTTATTTTTTATTTAGGCGAATTTAAACAGACAAAGACAATGATTGATCATGAAAATTTTAGACCACAACTAGCAGTAGTTTTAACTACTGCAACCGACTCTTAATAATAGAAACACTCTAAAACCGTGCTAAATTTCGAATGTTTCTTTCGCACGGTTTACGAAAACACTACACTTGGATCTTTCACTTCTTTTTCGGGTCTCAAATCTATAGTGTATTCTTCTCTTTGAGAAGAACAAAAGGATATGAAAGAAACTCCTCGAATATTTGCTAAAAATGATTGTGATCGTCAATATCGAAAATATGATCATTTATTGAATTACATTGCTTCTGGACGTCATCAACGAAAACGAGATAGAATGTCATTAATTAGTCGAAGTAAACTATTCCAGTATGTGGTAGACAAAATTCCAGAATATGGTAGACGCCTATTTTTAGCCGGCGGATCTTAAAAGCATGTGATGGAATTTTAAGATATGATAGAGCTTGAAGAACTCAACAAAACCCAATGGTTTTGAATGTCTAAAGAGAACAGATTTTAAAGAGTTTTCGAGTAAACCGCAGACACATTTTAGCTTCTTTTCCACTATTATAGGTACTTTCGATATTTTGTCTAGTTTTTATCGCATGTGATGCATGTAAACGACTTTATCTTGATCTTGAAAGATTTTCAATGTTTTTTTCATAGGTCTTTGACGTTTTACTAATTTGTTTTCCGGCAGTTTTTTTCCGTTCCGTGATGTACTATTTCATAGTTATACACAGTTATTTTTCTTCTTATCAAAGCGCCTGACAGTGTCAAGATAAATCAATTTGTTCTTTTGTTGCCCTGTCATGTAGTATTGCTTTCATTTGAATTTGAGCCTAACGTTTTACACAGCATGTCGTCTGTCTTTTGCGTAGACATGAAAGTCTGAATGGGAGTAGATTTTCGAAGTTATATTAACCTTTCAAATATAGTTCATTTTTGTTATTGTGAATATGACCGCGTTTGGCATCTGACGAATAAGCTAGAGGGCAACAAAGATTGTAGTGAAACGTCAAAAACCTATGAAAAAAACATTGGAAATCTTTCAAGATCAAGATAAAGTCTTTTACATGCATCACATGCGATAAAACCTAGATAAAATATCGAAAGTATCGATAATAGTGGAAAAGAAGCTAAAATGTGTCTGCGATTTACTCGAAAACTCTTTAAAATCTGTTCTCTTTAGACATTCAAAGCCATTGAGTTTTGTTGAGCTCTTCAAGCTCTATCATATCTTAAAATTCCATCACATGCTTTTAAAGTGCGGAAAATGAACTAAAATTTAAATTTTAGTATGTGAGTTTTTGAAAAATCTTTAGGAAACCGTTTTTATTTGGAAGGTCTAGAACTCACCAACTGTTTAAGTATGTTCAGCTTTTCGAGCTCTATCCAAACACGCCTTTGAAAATATTCTAGCTAGCTTGTGAACGCGGGAATTGTAGTTTTAAAAAAAATTAAAATTTCAAGTTTTAAAATTGAAATAAAAATTTCAAATTATGAGCTGGAGAGTCCGACTTCTTCTTAAATGTAGCCCGCTCAGTACTGAATAACACCGTTAAGTTGAAAAATTTTTACAGACAAGCGTTTGTTTAAAAGAACTTATTTTCTGTAAATGGATGTGTGAAAAACCGTGGTTTTCTGAAAACCTTACTTCCGACACTTTTGAAATTATTTCGAGTTAGCCATCGAAAAGAGCATCGCTCAAAACTCTTAAGTACTGGGATTTATCAAAAGCCGTCCGGCGGATCTTGAGATAGCATTTTTATCTTAGACGCCTATTCTATCAGTTTTCACAAGTATATTTGATGCTCATTCTTTAATAACTACAAAAATGGACACGACTTTTACTGCCTCTAAATGAGCTATGATCGGTGCAAATGAAGGAATAGTCAAGGCTGTTCTGTAAATAACTTTTGAACACGAAGTAATCGCAATATTCAGTTTAGAACTTTCATGGTCAAGATCTGAAGGCGTTTTTATCAGACAGAACATCAGTGTATATTATAGTCAAACAAATAAACATGATTATGGGCCACAGTAGGCAACTTTAGCTAGGGCAGGCGGACATGAGTCATAAGCATGGCAGGAAAGTGTCTAAGCACTTTTTTTATAGATTTTCATACGCTCTTTCCACTGGCATGATTTTCGAACTTTGAAAGTATGTTCGTACAGGATTTTCAGAGATCGGATCTCTGGAAAACAAAAGTGTTTAGAGACGTATCACTTTTATGGCATATGTCCACTTGCCAAACGAAATTTGCTGTGTTTATACGCAAAAATCATCGTATTACACTGGATCGAAAACTATTTTGTCTGTAAATTAATTAACCTGTACATCATTCGACGCAGGTTTCTACGCTGAGTCGGAATATGTATGTATAAACTGTTGTGTAAACAGTGTTTTTTCTAGTGTAGAATTGGAACTTACAGATAAAATCCTGCTATTTTTTGAAAATCTATAACTTCGGCCTGCAGCATTTGTGTATATTTATGTTAACTCTACAGACGTTATGTTCAATAAAACTGAATATAAGGAAAATTTCGGAAACTCACTTTACTGAAGAGAATGTTTCGGAAAACACTTAGCGTAGATAAAAAGTTGGATACTTCCCACAGAAAACATTTGAAATAAAAATAATTTAGGGATAGATAAAGCTCCTCTTTCCGAATATGCAAAAGTCATATACACATTTTTTTTCCCTTTCTGTGCTACATGCTCCTTTTTCCAGAGATCGCTGAAAATTAGCGAATTTTTGAAAATAGGCTATCCCAATGGCCTTCATAGATAGAATAAAAATTCTTTACCATTAAATGCCAGTTTGAGATGAGTTTCTTGACGTTTAATGAAAATAGCAAAAAATGGATTATAGTGATCATAAAGTGTTTCATAATATGTCGTCAGCTTTCTTTTGTTTCACGTTTTCTCAAAAAGATTCTTTCTTCGTCACGCTTCATTAGATTACATTAAGATGCACCAAATTCAAACTTTCCATACCATTTTATTTTTGGCTGAATTAAACATCATTGGATAGAGCGCGACGACCTGATCAAGAATATCTACATTTTAGCTTTAAAAATTGAATGAAAAATCTTAAAAATACTAGAAGGATCTCAAATGATATTTTTGTTGCATAAAACATGAGTTCTGAGAAGAAAATAGGGACTTCTGGGCAGAATTCCGATGTTTTCGTCCCTAATTCAGAAAAAATGTACTTTCTCAGTAATGAAACAAGTTTTAAGAAAAGTCATTTATATTTCAAACCTCGTTTAATGACGGTTCTAATGAAAAAAAAAAGTCGGCTTCATCTCTTCTTTGGTTCACCCAACAACCTCATCAAAATTTCATCCGATCAAGCTGGAACTTTGAGGCCCCGCTCCCACCAGCCCCGGTCAAAAATCTTGAGGAATAGTTACTGCATAAGTTTGGTGGCTTCGTCTATCATCGTTTAGGAGATGTCGGTCGACCATTGGGTCAAAATGGGACATCTACCGTCCGACAGATTTTTCCTCTCAGAAAATAGCTTGAGAGCTCGGGCTGGTTATAAAGTATAAAATGAAGTTAGGGTAATGAGGTAACAGAGCCAGATTTTTGAGTGTTTTGTTGGTTTTATTTTTCGACGGATTTCACCTAAAAAGTTCAAAAAAGCGCAAAAACTGGCGTATAACTTTCAACGCTGTAAAATAATGAGTCTAAATCAAAAATCGAGCTCTGTTACATTGTTTCCATATGTCTTAGCTTCAATCACAGACCAGCCCGAGCTCCGTAGCGCTTAATTTGACGGAGAAATCTTCCCGACAGTGTTTATCAAGTAGGAAAAGCCGCTTTTGAGATATGGTGGTGCTGGTGTACGACACAGGTTTTAGGGCTCTTAACAAAACTGTCGTAACTTTTGATCAAAGCATTGCTTGGTGCTGGGAGACGTCTCATTTTAACCATAAATGCTTACTCTGCGAACTGGAGCCACTACTATCCATTTCAAGAAAGAATGAACACGGTTGCTTTTGGAATAAATCGGAAACCTTACTAACTAGCGAGTTCTCGTTTTCACCGTTGAAACGAGAACATTTGGGAGCATCCAGGCAAATAATATTCGCTGGGCTTGCCAAGATCTTTGAGGGATTTCCAGAAGGTCTCTGGAATCTATATTGCGCATAGAGCGGATTCTCTATGCGCAACATGGCGGCAGAAGGCTGGAATTTGAAAATCTTGATAAAGTGAGTTTAGATGGATTTGAAACTAAAAATAAATATCACCGCTCGACTCAGTGCGGCCGACTACCCCTATCTTGACTCATTTTATGGCGATCCAAGGTCAACTGATTGAAATTAGGACTCGCAGGAAAATATTTACGGCTCTTGAACGGAACAAGCCAGTGAGCTCGGCCTTGCGTGGTTTTATAGAAGAAGTATGGGGGATCATACTCACACAGGAGAATCAAAATCTCTAATTCTCACAAAGTGGGTTTTCCAGAGACCTTCTGGAAATCCCTCAAAGATCTTCGCAAGCTCAACGATTATTGTATGTTTGGATGATCCCAAATGTTCTCATTTCAACAGTGAAAACTCTCCTCCCGACCATTCACCAGAAATACTCGAGACCCTTTTCTAAAAATGGTTTAAAAATAGACATTCAAATTTTGACTGTGAAAGCTCTAAAGCTGAATACTCCTACCACTTTTTGTTCGAAAGTTATTATACAGTCAAGACCATTTTCTTCGTTTTTTCGATAAGAAATACGAACAATCAGACACAAAAATACAACGTTTTCGCTAGACTATTCTGCGTAATAAACGCGGGTACAACAGATAAAATACACCGTTATTATTAAAATGTTTTTAGAGAAAACTTTCGAAGACACAGATAAGTGTACGAAATTCTGTAGAATAAGATCTGCGTTACGCTAACGCCACTTTATTAAAGTTCGGTGTTCACATTATGCCACCCAGCGAAAAAAAATGAGCGTGATTCCGCAGGTTCCTGCGGGAAAATATTTTTTCGTCTGGAGTTTCAATTTTTCTACAGAAAATTTTCAGTTTTGGAATCGCTGATTCACGGCGAAATGTTTTTTCGGAATGTATGCAGATTTATTTTTCTGTAGAAAAATCTGCTTTTCTGGGGAAATTTTCGTGCAGGATTCTGCCGAATATATTTTCCACAGAAATGTTCTTTATTCTGCGTAGTTTTTTCATGCCGGATTCTGCCGAATATTTTTGAACAGAAGAAGAGAAACACTCATGTTTGAGAGACACTCATATTTCTGCCGGACCAATTCCCAAGGAAATCTTCTCGTTTTTATACGAAACGATAGAAGTTTCTTTCAATTTCCGGTCTCTGGATGATGCTGCTAATTCATCAAAATGAATTACAGTAATTCTTCATTCTCTTTATTCGATTTTATAACAAAAAAATTGATTTCCGGGTACT